CCCCACGAGCTGAGTGCAGGTATTTCTTCACCCTCTCACACGCTGCTCACAGCTTAGACTTAAATTTAATACTCCCTAATCTCACTTCATATACTTCCGTAACCGACTTGGGTTGTCCCCTTGCATGCACTCAAGAATGAGTCGGTATCTCTGATTGCCATTTCTATTGGTCACACCTCACCCTACCAGTTACACTAGTTGAGGACCCTCACCTTTCCCTTGTGTGTGACTGGGTAGCAAAAATTATGACATCGAGTAATGCCTCATGCGTGTTCTTTTATTTCAAACATGGTACAAGCACTGTAGTGATCACTAGCGTCAAAGGACTCAAGCAACCATTCAAGTCGAAGTCCTCGGAAGTCAGTCGCGCCCGCCATTGCCGAGCAACTTCCGGGTTCACTGCGGTAGCGGCTCGTACCGGCTTGGTACGGCTTGAAGATGCCTGAGCTTCGGCTTTGAAAGAGAAATGCCAAAATGTTAGCACAAGACGTCTATAGAGTGCTGATACAGTAGATTCAAATCGACGCAAATTAAAATTAAAGCACGCCTTTAAACTCATTCATACAGTTGAATCGTAGACGGGACGGCCTGTGCTTCAGTTGCAAACCCTGTCGGAATGTCAATTTGAAGTCAACTGTGCCGCAGTCCGGCGTCCTATGATCACTCGCTACAGCTGAAATCCAAGTTCCTTTCCTCCCCACTGATAGCTAGCCCTCAATGGATCCTCTGCCAGATTCTCGTCACCCGTCTCCTCTACCCCCATCTGACGTAGGTTTCCTCATCGGCACGCCCAAATGCTCCCTCAAAAGCTTCGTCACATCCTCAGGGTCGACGATCATATCCCGCCCTCCCGGGGAGCTGGGCTCAACGACCAGAGCAGCATAGGTCTGAGAAAGCACCGATACCTCTTCGTATATCGCCATGGACGTGAACGTCGTAGGCATCATCTCGATGACGAGCGTGCCCCGAGCTGCCCAGCGGTGATGATGCATGGCTCCACCGTGAGGGCCTACAACTGCCAGGACATTTTTATTGAAATAACCAAAGAGGTCGGACGCAGAGCTATATTGCGTTTCGTCGAAGACGATGATTTCCTCGCCCTTGCCTCGCTCTCTGAGCAGTACACGGATGGCATCGAGGAGCTCTGATTCGTTGAGTACTCTGCGTCCGCCGTTCTTGGCACGATCGTTGGATCGTGACATGTACATGATCTAGTCATTTTGGCAGGATGAGTAGCGTTCAAGCAAGATACTGACACGGAACTACTTGCCTTATTCCTGGTTGAGGACTCTTTCATTGAGTCGATACCAAAAGCCTCAAGCGTCTTCAACGAGAGAAACGGATGGACCAAGACCGCCCGACATGAGAAGATCATACTCTCTGCGTATATATCTGTGCTAATGCTGTGCAGGACGTGCCTATTGTCAAATCCTAGTCTTTCCCAGAGCTGCTGCACGAACTGGTTGCCTTGTCGTCCTGTGATAACATATGGGAGGTCGCTACCATCGATAAGATGTGTGGCCTGACTGACAATGTGAGTAATGCGATCCAGGTAATGCTGGAAGGAGTACGAGTCGGGTGAGGTGGCTAGCATCGCATTTCGATATATGGTGGGTGGGTTGGATCTTCCCAGCAATTCGAGCGGGTCATACGTCTTGAAGGCGTCCGAAGAAACGAGGTCTGACATGCACGAACCCGCTGACCAGCTATCATAACCTCCCGAATGTCTGTAAGAAATATTCCCAAACACCTAGAGTTATACTGTAAGTACTAGCCTACACGAAAACCGTGCACTCACAAAATTTTGTCCAGATTGTCCCTTATACACAAGCCAACCGTCATTCTGTAGCACCCCGCGCTCTTTAATCCCCATCGCGATATCTCCCCACCTCTCCTTGTGCGCGTTCGAGGCAAAATAAGGCTGGCGAATCTTGAAAGATGGGTAGAGAAGCTCTTCAGCGTAGGCCACGTTCTGCTCCAACCTTTGGGCCACTGCATGGCGCATAATGGGCTGGCATACCAGCGGTACACTCGCTCAAGCTCAAGGGAACCCATGCAGTACTTCGCGCCAGAGCGTAGTCTCCGCTCATTGGTAGGAAGTCCGCATGGGTGTATGACTTGGACTCGGACGGTGGTCCAGGTTTTGATATCCCTCGCAGCGGCTGCAGCTGATACTGAGGAGCAGGGACCGGGCGATCCTCCAAAATATCGTGAAAATTAAGGTATATCATCCCGGATAGGAGGGTGATATTCATGCAGACGAGGATAGTGGTGGTCAGTCGAGCCATGATATCGAGGAGAGATGGGCAAGCGAAAAACTGCGCTGTATCGCGGCTAATGATGACCGTTTGGTTATGCTGGGCATTTCCTATAACGGCCACAAGTCTTCCGCGTGCACCGAAGGGAACCGGAAAAAACGACAGATAGATTACTGGTGAACGTGGCAAGGAGGAAGGGGTACTGCACCGCCGCGTCGAACAGGGAGTAGCGGCCAGTATACCATCGCTACGACGCCCAGGTTACCCCACTCCCCAGGCCAGACGAATTCACGCTTAGAGCCAGAAAACAGAAGAACCCAATCACAGGAAACGCCAGTGAATTAAAGGCGTATATAGGCCAGTTCTAACTCATATATATAGTCTTCAAAGCGCCGTACCTAGCCATAGATATTTCTCAGTTGGCGGCTCAAATAATACACCATCCGGCTCTGCATGCTTTGTGGCATCGCCATCATCCTTTCTTGCATTGAAATTCGCCGTTGTTCGAGCCACATACTATTTCTGTTTACTGATATTCCAAGGTCGTAGAGTTTCATGCTCTCCGGGATCAAAGATACTTGAACTCAGTTGGAGAGTACGTCAAAACCACTACCATTTCCTCATGAGCGACGTAGTGAAGTGGGCCGCTGTGAGGGGTCTGAAGTCTTCTAGGAACAGCAATGGCCACGGGCAATAAGGACATTCAGTACATATCATCTACACTCCTAGTAACACAATGGCCAAGACAAATTCCAGCCCTTCATTTAGTAATCGATGTAGTTTGAGGTGTCACATCGCTTTCCGCAGTCGGTGTGGGTAAAAACTAAGAATCCAGGAACTCGACAAGCAACACTCGGAGAAAATCAGACCGCGTAGAGTGTCAATATCAAACGGAACATTATTCAAAGTAGTAGTATTATCCAGTTGGCAGTGATTACACATAGAATACCATCTTTTTTTGCCCCTAACTTCCTGGAGTCGGACGGTGCGGGCCTTGTGCTTTCTCCGACGGTCAAAATCTGAGCCCGAGCTATAATGAACTCCTGCCGCCGGATCTGGCTTTTTAAGTCTTGGCTTCGCTTGGCCTGGCCCGGCTTTCGGTCTGGGGCCAAATCTTGTACACCGCTATGGACCAGGTCCTTGACAGCCACTTTTCCAGACCACCAACTAGGATGAACGTCTACTATCGCAATCCATTTATAAGCCAATCTGTCAGCTATTAGTACTACCACGGAGGGGAAGTGGTAAGCTTTTAGTAAATGAAAGTGGGGCATGCAACTGGACGTTCATCACCTTTTTAGGATGAATATGATGAAGTAACCGATTTAGCGTTCGGGTTGTGGGAATACCAATGGCATATACTTAGTAGCATCCTAGGAATTGGCCCATGGAATCGTGGTTGAGGCCAAAAGAGTCAAAAACAACTTGAAATGGCGGCGCATCTGAGGTCGATTGCGTCATTCGGAGTGCCGCTGAGCTTTAGGATCGTCGGCCCGAAATGAAGGCGTGAGAACTTAATCCTTCTTCCTCCCCCCCCCTTCCAAGCTACCGCATGTTTTTACCCTTATCTGCAGACAGTCCTTCTTCCTTATGCGTCTTATGAGACTGGACCAGGACCTGCATCTTCATCGTAGGGTCTACGTCGCGACGTCGGCAGAACACCTCTGGACTGCAGTTTTTCAACGAATATACGGCGAAGCACTGTTCTGAAGCTAGCAATGGCGTCAAAAATCTTCCGTTAAGATCGTCGATTCAGACTCCGCGCTATTTGGTAATGCGACCACTGCTAAACTCGTAACATCCTACTTGTCGCGCATCGTCAGATTGTGCGCCATCCCAATGAGCCTATACGAGTACGATCTCAAGCGGACTCCTGCAAAATATGAAGGTGTCGACACACACTTCCTGGATATCTACGGGTAGGCCGGCCTATATTTTTTTTGCTTGCATGATCATTAACCATTAACTTATGCTTACAATTTTCAACGCGTACACCGACTTAGCGGCCACAGGCAACTTGAACACGGCGGTCCACCTCTGATTTTTTCTTTCCTGGGTGATGCACACCAGTAGGACAAGAAGCAATGCGAGTCGTCATCTTCTCTGAATTTCCTTCACCCAACATTCGTAATAGTGACTGTTATCGACTAAGCAGTTTTGAATATGGATTCGAGCACTGTGCTTTCCATCATCTGGTTAGTAAAGTGCAAAGGCAAGATAAAGAACCCTTATATAACGGTACAATCGTCTCGTTAAAGACATGCACTGAAACTATAAATCACGCTCTTGTAGTCGGAGATCTGGACGCTTCGACTCCAGTGCTTCGGAGCCCATTTTTTTTTCACATCGCTCTGGAACTCAAGCACATCGCTTCTTACGCATAAATATTATTTTCTCACTTTTGGCAAATGAAGAATGAAATTTCTTGTTTTTTTGTGTCTTTTCCGGGAGTTAAATCTCTCGGCAGTGTTCATTGCAAAAATGAAACATAGAATGAATGCGGAAACATAAAATTGCCCTAGATTATGTAGTAAAGTTAGTATTTGGTGTTGATTATTGGTCAGTATAAAATTTCACCAGTAGCAGTGATAGCGCCGCTGCCTAGAGCCCAGCCTGAACCCGTCATTCAAGTACTCACTAACGTTCATTCCTCGGCGCTCGCCACTGAGCAAAGCTCTTAGAGTCTTAGAAGTCAGCTGAGCCCGGACCCTGGACTTCTGAGGAAAAGCGCAAAAAGTCATTAGCCCACCGCGAGGGTCGAACTCGCAGCCTTCAGATCACCAAACCGCCTGGCGCTCTAAGAGTCTGACGCTCTATCCGATTGAGCTAGGCGGGCACGAGCACAAGGTACAATGTGACTTACAATACGCCAATGGCAGACGCTGACATTACTGGTGAGAATTTAACATTGAGACGATACACCCACTCGGCGGTGATTCAGTGGAAGAGTTGCACAATAAGTGATGTATACCATGCAAGACATAGTTAACCGCGGTTCCGTGACCATGCCATCCCGTGGTGACCTCAGCTTGGGAAGATATGAGCTAACCCGCTTTCTTGTATAATATCTGTGGATGTTGAACCGATGACAAGTCACAGAATAGTCATCGCTGTCATTCACAGTCGACAGGCCAAAGGGTGCCCCGTGACACCATTGTCATCTTCCTTCGATATGGTGCTTTGGAATCCGCCACGTAAGACCAGTTTTGAACGATGTTGGTTTCGTCGTCTAAGTCGTGGTTCAAGAGCAGGGAGGTTGGCAAGTAGCGAGGATGTAGACTTGGGCCACAGCTCAGCGAAACACTCTTAGTCTAGAAAGAAGCCGAGATTGTAGGCAAGAAGCGCCTCGAAAGGTACAAAGGTTATATACGCGCTTCCGGCTAATTTTGATATAAGCGGAATCCTAACCCTAAGAAAAGGGAGGTTAGGTTTCCATTCAATATCTGGAGGGGGACATACCATATATAAAGCAGCCCCATCCTTCCCCATGCTTTCACAACTCTCCCTCAAACCACTACCATCACTTGTTCTCACCCTTCCACACCTCCCTCCTCCCACGTCCGCATTCATTCGAGTAGGCCCCTCTATTCATCTGTAGGTCCTTCTTTTGGCGGTTTGTTCCATGAATGACGCCGGGACGAAGAGAATGCCCGTCCAACGAGAAGACACAACAACGATGACAACGCAACGGGGTAGAGAGACCCAAGAGTTGCATTTATCACCAGCAACGGCGTTCTCCACCCCGTCGAGGGCGTCTACCGTTATGCCTATCTATGGTGACGCCCAGCTGACCACGACGGTCCCTGTTCACCGCTATCATGTATCCGATCCCGACGCGTCATATACGGGATATGCACGCGAATACGTCGCGCCGCTTTCACCACCCGTCCTTGGTAAACCGCGCCATCGTCACATCCCGCTGCCGCCCCAAACAGAGAGTGATACCCCGATGATAATCCACCCACTGTTACGGCTGAGTAGAGGAGAGAAGATAATGGAGCTAGACTTCGCTCGCAGTCTGTCGAGCGTACGCGTTCTTGGTCACAAAGGCTGTGTGAACGAGAAGGCAACCAGCCCGCCTCTTCCGTCACTGGCTATTGTCCACCCAAAGCTTCCATGGCCCATAGTTGTTCAGAGGTCGGGTGATCGAGAGTGGGTCACGGTTGCTGACGTTGTCGAGAAGCTGTGGCATGCTCTGCAGATACGCGACCTCATGAGGTTTCCGTCGCCGTCGACATCGCTGCTGCTCGATTATCAGAAGGATGTGACGTTTGACAACTGTTGCAGCATGTCGGGTGGGGTGGAACGAGAAATGGCTCCCAGGCTGATGTATTTGAAGGGGAAGACACGGTTCATGGGTCTCCGTGCGATAGGAAGCGACACCTGGGAACTACTTGTCGTGTAGGGCGTGCAGGTCGCGCTGTCGGGATATTTGTATGGTGCAATAACTGGACACTCATCTGTATGTACTATAAAAGTGATATCAGCTACGCTCAGTCGATAAAACAAGAGGCTACCTCTGGAAGAACAGATGCTGATGCGATTGCCAGCGCGCGAAAGGGTGCGAATCACCGACGTCGAAAGCAGCACTGTTCAAGGCGTCAACTCAAAATCCATTAACCCTGAGAGCAGTAAGGTCAGTATTATAGTAGCCTCTCGAAAAGCTCCAGTCACCAAAAGAGTCTCGTCTCTCTGCTACATTCCACCTCGTCCTAACGTGGGTATACGCGAAGGTTTCTGTGCGCTACCCATACAAGGGGCGACAGTCTTATCTCGCATGTCTAGGGTCACTGCGAAGCATTATGTCATAGCGAGCACGATACACCCTAATCCATCCATCTTGCAGCGAAAGGTGTTTGCACTTGTCGCTTGCACGAAAAATGTGTCTGTGTGGCCAGAACAGGGAGGAGAGGGAACAGGAAAGGAAGAGCATATGCCTCTGGTCGAGGTCAATGAACTAAGCCCACTGACTAATGATACAGCAGTACGGTGTGTGCCTCTCTTCATAGGTTGAGCGTCGGGACTGGTACCAAAGGAAGAATGTGAGGTAGACGGGCCGAGTCTAACAACAAGCAGTAAACATCTGGTCAATATCCAGATAAGCGGTCCTAGCATCCGATAGGCATCTAGGTGCGGACATATACGCTGCAAGTCGAGTCTCTTGAAGCACATCCAAGAAATGGCTTGAGCTAGCTACAAAATTTACCACTATCAGCGCTCGGGTACTTCAACAGCGGCGCTAGCTACTCACAGTGATCTGCGACATGAGCATGGCATCTCTTAGCGTATTTCCTCCATTACCAAGGGTGTCGGGGGAGACAACCCTTGTCTATCAACAATGACTCGTCCCGACTGTGGCCTTGTTATCATAGTATCACCTTGCGCCATTGGTACTGTAGCTCTAAAAGCCCGAGCTTGGAACTTGAAGACTAGAGTGGGGCACTGGAAATTGGCGAGCGATAAAGACGGCGTACTTCTGGGAACACCTAATGATGCACTTATGAGAATAGAGTACCGCTGGGAGGCATAGTGTAAATAGCACTAGCCGAAGAGGTAGCATTGCACCAGTGGATGACCTGAGTCGATAGGGATAAGTGAGCTGTTGGCCACGGACGAGGTAGACCATCTTGAGGAAAAGACAGAGGACAAGGCCGCCTTTCACAATCAACAGGACAAAAAGCGCTCCACGGCACCATTGTCATCTTCCTTCGATATAATGCTTTGAAATTCGCCACCGGCCTGACGAGTAAGACCAGCTTTTTACAATAATGGTTTCGTAGTCTGGGCTATGGTTTGAGAGCAGGATGGGTAGCAAGCAACGAAGATGGGAGCCTGGACCACAGCTCAGAGAGATGCTTTACTAGAAAGAAGCCGAAATTTCAGGCAAGGAGCAGCTCGAAAGGTACAAAGATGATATAGGCGCTGTCGGTTATGATTTGACATAAGCGGAATCCTAACCCTAAGAAAATGTAGGTTAGGTTTCCGTTCAATATCTGGAGGGGGGACATACCATATATAAAGGAACCCCATCCTTCCCCATGCTCTCACAACTCTCCCTCAAACCACTACCATCATCCGCTTCCACCCTTCCATACTTCCTCCCTCGCACGTTCGCACTCGTTCGAGTGAACCTAAGCTCCTCCATTCATCTGTAAGGCCTCCTTTTGCTATTTGGTCCATAAATGACACCAGGATGAAGACGATGCTCGTTCAACGAGAAGACATGGCAACGATGACGACGCAGCAGGGTAGAGAGCCTCAATTATCACCAGCAACGGCGTTCTCCACCCCGTCGAGGGCGTCTATCGTTATGCCTATCTATGGTGATACCCAGCTGACCACGACGGTCCCTGTTCGCCGCCATTATGTATCCGATCCCGACGCGTCATATACGGGATATGTACGCGTACACGTCGCGCCGCTCTCACCACCCGTCCTCGGTAAACCGCACCATCGTCACATCCCGCTGCCGTCCCAAACAAAGAGCGATACCCCGATAAAAATCCATCCACTGTTACGGCCAAGTAGAGGAGAGAAGATAATGGAGCTAGACTTCGCTCGCAGTCTGTCGAGCGCGCGCGTTCTTGGTCACAAAGGCTGTGTGAACGAGGTGGCAACCAGCCCGCCTCTCCCGTCACTGGCTATTGTCCACCCAAAACTTCCATGGCCCATAGTCATTCAGAGGTCGGGTGATCGAGAGTGGGTCACGGTTGCTGATGTTGTCGAGAAGCTGTGGCATACTCTGCAGATACGCGACCTCATGAGGTCGCCGTCACAGTCACTGCTCAAAAACCAAGATGATGCGCCTTCCGCCAGCTGTCGCAGCATGCTGGGCCATGCGGAGCGAGGGGTTGTACATGAGCCTAGACTGGTGTACTTGAAGGGAAAGACGCGCTTTATGGGACTCCGCGCCATAGAAGGCGACACGTGGGAGCTGCTAGTTGCGTAGTAGGGCGCGCAAGTCGCACCTATGTAGGTGTCGGGATATTATTTATTCGATGTAGCTGCGGACCCGGCTGTCACTACAAGCATGTATCAGCTTCGCTCAACGGACAGAGACAAAGAATTACCCCTGTAAAATTTGTCCTCTACACGAGTTCGTGTGCAAGAGCCGGCGCATGGAGGGCGCTGCAGACGTCGATAGCAACAAGGCGGTAGATTCGTTAACCTTAACCCCAAATAAAGTAGGGTTAGTGTCGCGACCGATGGACCCATTTTTGCTGCTGCGACCTCCTTCGTCGAGCCCGTAAGTCGATATAAGTTTTTGCACGCCCATGTAGGCATCGGGTTTCTTCCCCAATGTGCCTGAAGTTACCACTACAAAAAGTGGCCTGTCGCTGCATGATATCCGTATCCGTAGTGCAAGCGCAATGGGAACCCAGTCTGTTCTGCTTGTGGCGAAATGAGGATCATGCAGGTTCGGTATCGCAATGTCAGTATCCAATCTTGCGCCGTCGAAATCTACTATCCCGCAAGAAGATAGCGCGATGAGGGTTTTCCTTTATTTCTATGAAGCTTTGGCCAGTGAAGGTCGTGTCAGGGAGAATGCGGGCCGAATGAGACCAGCAGCCCGAACAGTATCCAGGAGAGCGGTCCTATATCAGTCTCGGCACCCAATAGGCTGCAGATTGCCTCCGTCAGAGCTCGAGTGCTTCAATAACAGCACCCGCTACTCACACTGCAACATGAGCATAGCAGCCTCTCAGAGTATTTCCTCCGTTGCGATAGTCACCAAGGCCGTCACAAAAGGCGTGCGTCGTCTATCAGCGACGACTGAATAGGACCTCGTTTCAGGATAATATATGCGCCATCGGTGCGCTTATTGTTGCCATCATG